GGACAAAGAGTTAACTCATGGTAGGATGAAACATTTTCCCACTGATGCCTTGAAGATGGTGGTTTTCTGCCAGTACCTCCCATTAGGCTAATTCCAGAGTACCTTTATTTAAAATTCACCTAAAGAAGGGTGTGCTTCCTTCCTCTGCTCCAGCTCAAACACAGGACAGCTCCTTCACCTTCCAGAGATTGGAAAATCCTGGTTTATACTTAATAACAAGCTTAGAGCGAGTTCTTTCTGGAAAGTCTCCTCACCTCTGCTGTCTTTGCTTCACACACTGAGAGCATAAATCCAGAGCCAAGGACACAGTAACGCTGCTTAAGTATCCTTTAGTTTGAATACAGATGGGCAAGCATATGAATTAGGTGAAATTACCTTTAACACCCTTACTTATCTTAACAGCACCAGTTGATCCTCTGCTCTGGTCTCCATCAGAATCCCCAGCACACATGATATGTGGTCTCCCTCTCCTTGTTGGGCAGCTCTATGCATTACATTCTCCAAAAAACAGATTATCTGACAAAGGAGTTAGCTGATAATCTACTTGGCCACTTGGTTATCTCTGGTATCCCAATACATTTTTCTTCTAGTTGTAAATTTAACCCAGATAATAATGAAGGGAAAAAAAAAAAAGTTGCCGTTGAGTCGATTCTGATTCATAGCAACCCTACAGGACAGAGTAGAATTGCCCCATAAGGTTTCCAAGGAGTAACTGGTGGATTTGAACCACTGACTTTTTCATTAGCAGCTGAGCTCTTAACCACTTTGTCACCAGGGCCCCAGATACTAATGAGCCAACGAAAAAATACAACTTTGGTCCATGGACAATTTCCTTCACCAAACTTGTTATTTATATGTCTTCGCTCTTAACTAAAATCTCAACAAAGCCCATGAGAATATCAGTTTTCATGTGCAAATACTCATGAGGTACAAACCTGATAAGTTTGCATTACTGCGAGTGCCCACTAATAATTGAATTTAACCCATGAAATAAAATCAGTTTGTAAGAAACCAGAAAGTTGCCCCATGGTTGGAGAGCAAGGTCTAACAGATCATAGCATGGAGTCTTCTCCTGTCCTTCAAATGTTGCTATAAGATAAAGAAATGTTTTACAGTAACACTGCAGAAATAATTGTAGCAGACGAGACCTTTTCATGATCCCTTCTACAAAAGAAGCCGAAAGCATTCTGGATGGTCATCACAAAAAACAAAACAAAACACAAAACATTTGCGATGGAGTTGACTCTGACTTGCGGTGACCCCAAGTGTGTCAAAGTAGAATGTGCTCCATAAGGTTTTCAATGGCTTCTTTTTTCAGAAATAAATCACCAGGCCTTTTTTCTGAGATGCCTCTGAGTAAACTCAAAGTTCCAACCTTTTGGTTAGCAGCTGAGCAAATTAACTGTTTGTACTACCCGGGGACAAAAACCAAACCAGTTGCCATGGAGTCAAGTCCAACTCATGGAGACCCCATGTGTGTAAGAGTAGAGCTGCACTCCACAGGGTTTCCAATGGCTGATTTTTTGGAAGTAGATTGCTAGGGCTTTCTTCTGATGTGCCTCTGGGTGCACCGGAACTGTCTCCTTTCAGTTAGTAGCCCAGCTCAGTAACCATTTGCACTACACAGAGATGCGGGTGGCCAGCACAGAGGAAGCTGAATGACAACCACTACTGGTATAAGTCAGTATCACACCATTTTTAAGATGGCGAAATCCAGAAGATAACTAATCAAAAAAACCAAACCCGTTGCCCTCGAGTAGATTCCAACTCATAGCAACCCTATAACAGAGTAACAGAGTAGAACTGTCCCATAGGGTTTCTAAGGAGTGGCTGGTAGATTCAAACTGCCAACCTTTTGGTTAGCAGCCAAACTCCTAACCACTGTGCCACCTTGACTTCAGAAGATAACTAGATAAGTTAAAAAAAAAAAAAATGAAGCATTTGAAAATCTATTATTTGCCTGGCATTGGACTAGGATTAGTGATAGATACAAAAGACATTATCAGACATTTCCAGTCTTCAAGCATTTATATGATATTCTTCCATTTTTAAGTTGAAAAAGAAATCCAGAGTGTCATGGATTGAAGTGTGTCCCCTAAAAATATGTGTATCATTTTGGCTAGGCCATGATTCCCAGTACTGTGTGATTGTCCACCATTTTGACGTATGATGTGATTTTCCTGTATGTTGTAAATCCTAC